CCCCCCCCCCCCCCCCATCCCCGCCTTCCCGCCAAGCGGGCGGCCATTGGGCGGGCGTCGCGCGGGCGGGGTGCGCTGAGGCGGCGGGGATTCACCACAGCCCCAGGGCGCCCGGCGACGGGCTGCCCTCCCTCACGGAAGAAAGTCCGAGACTCAGCACCAGCGTCTGGCCCCACGAGCCTTTTATTGCTGTGCTTCAAACACAAGAGTTCCCAGCATAACGATACAAAGCAAAACACAAGTTTGTTTCGGAAACCAAAGCGTCGCAATTCTCTCAGAAAAACGGCAGCAGCCTCTTGGTGCCCGCCGCCGCCCGGGCCTGTACCGCAGGGTCCCGCCTCACGGGAAGGGAAGCGTCAGCTGCCGCTCCTGGCTCTCAAGCCGGCCTCCGGTGTCTGAGTTCAATATCATGCAACTCAAAAGACCTTAGTGAACATCACAACCGGAGTCCGTGTCGACACCGACAGCGTTAAATCGCTTCCAGCTCCCCATGCGAAGGTGAGGAGGATATCAAGTCCATGCCATCATTTTTACTAGCAGTTTGTTGATGTCCTCATTTACAGGAAGTTTGTAGACATACATATGTACACAGGAGCATTCCTGAAGTTCATCATAAACATTAATCTGTAACTTCTACTTTACTAATAATGTTATTACTTTTTAAAGTGTTCACTATGTTATCATAAGCCTTGCTATCTAGATACCTTAACTCTTTCAGTAACTTAATAATAGCTTGTTTCTCTCCCAGTGAGTTTCTCCAGGTGAGAAGCATCTGATAACATTGCTCTTCTATATCATTAGGAAAGTCATAAATAATTTTATCAATATCATTTTCTGGCAGATGAGTTCTCATAAGCCGCTTCCATTTTTTTCGTGGTACTTCCTTTATAAAGGCCAAAAAGCTATCTCTCAGTTCTGAAAAAACAAACACACAACACACATCAGCTTAATTTTTAAAATACAGATCTTTTTTCATAGCTAACTTACAAATTTTCCCATTGACTTTCATCCAGTACAAGCACAGACCAAACAGCAGTCAGGTATGGCACCTAAGAAGCATCAGCACAAATAGCCCAGCAATCTTGTAAGATGCTAAAGGTACCAGTCTACAAATCTCAAAAGTAGTCTCTTAAGATGAGACACCATTCAGTAAAGCGGTTTTGAGGAAGGCTTCATTTGCCTGCATGTCTTCACTTAAGCTTAATAAGGCTACTCAAGAGTAGACTTTAACCACTTCACTATGCTACTGGTATACGTTTGCCATGCCAAGAACAGCACAAGCAAAACCCAGTGCTTGGTCATCCAGCACATGAACTTGCTGGGTACAGGTAGATGTATGGGCATTCAATGCAGTCTTCCATGTGAGCACACATATAACAGAAAGAGCTCCTGCTCTGACCTACACCTCAATCATTAAGGCAGAGTACACTGCTGCAATTCAGGCTTGTTTAAAACATACAAAAAAACATTTGTACCATTCTTGTTCTTCAAAGCGTGACTGCATTATACCCCTGTGCAGAAAAGGCATGCTTTAAAGTAGAACAATTCACCACAAGGATTACAACTTCTCTCAAATGTAGTAATAATCCTGTTTCAGCATATTTTACAATAAACTGAAAGCCTCATAGCTCTAAGCAATATTGATCATCCTTCCTACACTATTCCTTAAGTAGACTAAAGTCAACATGAAAAAAACAAATTCCAACTATGCCAATTTATGGAATACTTACCTTTTTGAGAGAGATCTTTAACAATTATTTGGTATTTTCGTTTTTGTACCTGTAATACAAAGTTGGATCATTACTCAGAGGACTTAATTCACCATTATTCCTGAACTACTTGATAGTTTGCTTCCACAGCACATACCAGTGCAGGGGGGAGGGGAGGAGGGGGACAGATTTCACAGCACAATTGGAAATATTTGAGTAAAGAAAATTGCATGCTGAAACAGCCATGAAGCAACAAGACAGCACATTTGCTGTGCTGTCTCTTTACACAGTCTCTGTGTAAATACTGAACAGGGGGGAGATGAGCGAGGCAGGGCAGATTAAAAGAGGGACTGAAGTTTGCTTTCCCAAGATATCACTTCCTACACTTTTTTAATCAATCTTTAAGGCAAAGCCTCCTCTTTTTTATTGTTCTACCTGAAAACAGCATCTGTCACTCAAAGAAGAGTTAAGAACTCAACTGAAATTACACATCTATCAGAGAAAAGTCGATAATTTCACAAACACACACTTACCATATTATTTGCTGGAATCCTATCACTTGGTACATTAGACAGGGCATTCTGCTGGCAAGCAAGATTCTCCCCAGTTTTTGCTGCTCGTGAAAACTCAGCGATCCTCCTCCAGCACCTTTCCACATGGTGCTTCCAGACCCTGGGCAGGATGGTGCCCCGCTCAGAAAGCACAACGCTGTTTTCCTCTGGTGATGGGTTGTTTACTTCCGAACTAAGATTGATTTGTGCTTGGTCCTCTGGGCTCTCACCAGAGTTCTCATCCTCTGGGTTGTTTGCATTATTTGCAGGTGTCTCCACTTCTGTTAAAATGAGGCTTTCAGTACTGCCCTCAGACTCCTACAAAGAAAAAGAACATATTCTAAGAGATCTTTTATATGTAGGCCTTCAAGGACAGTCTGGAAGAAGAACACAGAATACCTGGAGTCACCAGATGTCAGAGAAATAATAGCAGAACTACTAATTTGGTGATGTTAGAAACAAGCAAAAATTAGTCTTTACAGGCTTGGACTTTAAATGGTTTCAGAGCCTAAACTCCCCACTTCGCTGGCTGTTCTTCCACTGGACTGTGGGGTAAGGCTCACAGGCTACCTCCATAACAAACACAGCAAACTTTTCCTGATGTTTTCACTGGAAAGTACTGCTGCATGCTCCTGTCTAGGTATGGAAGGCATACACCCCTCCTGCAGCCAGAGGAAATTAAGTCAGCTCAGGTGCAGCAAGGCAATTTAACAGCAATGGCAGCCTAAAGCCTATCATTGTATCAAGGCTGATGCTCTCAGAGCTGTTGCCAAGCCGATACTAGCGTATCAGTTCTATGTAAGTGAACTAGCTTGGACTTTTATTGGATGGATTTGTTTCTCTGGTAGATTCACAAACAAGAATCAGTTGAAAGAAGCCAGTGAGCACCAATGCACATTGCATAGCTTTTACAAGGGGACAAAGAGGGAAGCAAGTGAGAAGGGCTGCATCATTTTTAGCATTGTTAGTACATTAAACAAGTGTATGCCAGGACATAGAGCTCCAATTCTTCAAGAGCAGTACAAATACAAAGCAGACCCACCTCTATCTAGTGTATCATCTAGTCCTAAAACTGAAAAGCTTTGGAATTTTTAATTTTTGTTTTTCAATGTGGAAATGAGGGTGAGGAGTGACTGTTTTTCCAATGAGACTGCTGTACAGCTCCCCCACGAGCATAAGCCTGTGTGATTTCTGTTTGCACAAGGTCAGTGACCCAAGTGTGACGCCACCATGTGATTAACATGCGTAAGCAGGGATGTGAGGGGAACCACCCCACACATCACACATGTAGTCTACATCATCCTCATTGAATCCACTTTTTCTTTAAGGGTGCAAACAGGTTAAACAAGTTGATTCTATTTATACAGAATAGTTCTTAAATCAGTAACTGAGCAACTGAAGTACACAGCATAGCTGACTAATAGCTGCTGCTTTATTTAATTCTAAAATAAAGTATCAGCTAATTCATTTTGGGGGGATTTTTGGGTGGTGTTTGGTTTTGGGGTTTTGTTTGTTTGTTTGCTTGTGGGGTTGTTTTTGTTTTACAGCAGCATAAGCTCTTTGGTACTCTGCAAAGGACTGTGTTGGTGCTAACATGCCCAGTCTCAGGACTGCATCAGTGTAACAACTCTCCTTGGCAAATGAGTTTTTTGTTACAGTAGCACAAAGACTCCAAGTGCGCAGGCATTGCAACTCAAGACTGTGGCAACTCTTCCTTCAGAGCTTGCATTATTCTACTACCATCTTACTCAAAACAAAGAGTGCTATATTTGCCTATTCCTATGCTACAGCATTTTGACCACGTTTTCTGTCGCATTCTTCATCAGCTTCTACGAATGCACGAAGTGCTGCGGATCTGGCCAGGGCTTGGGGGAAGACATAACCCAACAAAAACCCATGGGTGATTCACATATTTGAGACACTTATGGACCTTAAAAAAGAAAAGAGTTTAAGGTGATGTTTTTAACAGATCTTTGAATTCTGTTTCTTTCATCTTCAAGTATTTGTGACATAATTAAGATGCATTTATTTACTTGAAATGTCTAACTAGTAGGATTGGACTCATGCACCAAGTGAGTAGTGCATGCATTGTGTGGGCGTCAAAACAGGCAGCAGGGAGAAAAAGGTGCTGTACACAGGCTACAAGAAGAATCTGGATGCTTTTCTTGGATGCTCATCAAGACAGACATTTGTTTTACAGCTTGGCATTACGCATCATTAACTATACTAGTGAAGACTTGAGCTTATTTTTGCTTCACTGTGCTGTTAGGAGTGTAGCTTCTAGATAGGGGAGTTAAAGGTACACTAGCTAAATACAAGCTAGTCTTGCATTTATCTTGCAGAATCCTAGACTAGCAATAATCTTTTTAGACTGAAACAGTGAGGTTCTGAAATACTGTTTGACTACAGGAGGCCAGGGTGAACCTAGCTTTGAAGTTCAACATATGCCAGCAGCCAGCCTTAGGTTGGTAAATCCTTTTTCTGGGATGTACTTCCGAACTGATACGCTGAGCCCTGAACCCCTTGTCATATGGGACTACCTAGGGCCAAGGAGTTATACTGCCAGGTCCTGGTCTGTAGCTTGTGACAGGAACCCAAGGACAGGAAGACTCAGTCACTTTGCTGGATCAAGAGGAGTCAGTCTTATGAACAAATAATGTTGTGGTCAAAATGCAAGGAAAGCTAGACCATCACTATGCAGACAGTTTGAAGTGGAAGCTTGCACTTAGCCTTATTTTTTTTTCCACTTTCAAAATATCCTGGCCACAGGCTCTGGAATATTTCCACGGGAAGCACAAGAAAGGCTTACTGCAGTGGACACATGGAGCTAACACACACATCAGGCCCTTGCTAATATCTGGCCCTGTATGAATCACAACTTGTTGCATCACAGGAATGCATCCTACCAGAGGTCTACAGCGAGACAAGAAATTGAGAGCTGTGTATCAGGTACAATTACGCAGTGCACACTTAAGCTGCAGAAAACTGAGATTAAACACTTGATCCATCATATACTTACCAGACCTTTCTCTGCATCTTTATCGGGTGAAGCAGCTGGAAAACAAGATAAATGTCTAAGAAACTCTTCAGAATCGCAGCAACTTAAACATCGCTGAATTCACACAAGATTTGTATGCAGTAGGCACATTCGCAACACAAACCAAAGCTCTAATACAAGCCATTTACTTTCCTTGACTTGTCCTACATTTCATGAGAGTACTACCCTTAGCTTCCACCAACAGCACCAGCACTGTGCCTTCATACAGGGGCTGAGGAGTCCCACTTGGTAAAGTACAGACCACAAGGTGCAGTTTGGCTTTTAAGCCACTCTCTCAACCTCCCCCACTCCAGCTTATTCTTCTTAGCATTTTTGTGGGCTATTGCAATATAAAAAAGAAGGCACAGATTGTCTTTACTGCAATACAATCAGGAAGACATGATTTGGGAAAAGTGAACATTCAAAATAATTATTCTAACTAAACTAGTTGCAAAAACACTTTAATATGCAGTAGTGGAAAGAAAAGTTTCTCAGGAAAACATCTACATTTCCACAAAAAAAAATAAAATCAATTCACACAGGACTTACCAATCTAAGTCATGTTAAGGGCAACAATTTGTAGAAAAAAAACCCACAGTCAAACACAATGAATGAAAGTAGTTAATGATCTAATTAGTTGCTACTTCTCACCCCATGTGTCTGAGCTCACACACAGATTTTTCTCACTCTTTGCCAACACAATGCAAATGGATAGGTAAAGTCCTTTTAAGGACCTTACACTAATCTTGCTTTGAAGCAAATGCATCTGTCAGCAAAGTAAGAAAGCTCATGGTTAAATTTTGTGCATTTTGTTTACTGAACAAAAATCTCCAATATAGTCATTTAATCGATTCATATACTAAATGAGCTAGAGCTTAAAACAGGTGTCTTTAAGGTATCACAAAACCCAGAGATAGCCTTAGTGAATGCTGTGCCTAGTTCTGGGAAGTTTATGAATAGTAATCAAGCAGTTACCTTTACCATTCTTTAGCTTTCTAATTACAAATAACAGCACCAAAACAACAGCCACCACCAAAATAACCACAGGAATCCAAACAAATACTGTGCTTCCTGCAGAGGAAAAAGGAATGAAATTAGTACTGAAGCAGTCCCCAAACAAAATATTCTCAAGTGCAAGTCTCCCCTGCTGTCCTAGAGAACAGCCTAAGCTCAGCAGCAGTACAGCGACATGGCTTGTCCTGGAAAAGGCACCGGGACTATCAGCTGACCTGAATGTGCAAGTACGTGTTTGCACTGCACATCATTATCCCAAAGGGGGATTCTGCAACCAGAAGCTGCAATACAAGTTCTAAAAGGCTTTCTGAAGAGACATTTAACAACAGAGGGAAACAAGTATGCCAAGACAGCAGCGAGTTTCAGGTGCTGTAGTGTTGGTAGTGCGAGTTCTTTCTTTCTCTAGTCTGGCAGAAGCTATCTACCAGCAGCAGAGAAAGCCACCCCATACACAGCTTTGCAGACATGGAAAACACAAATTACATCTTTACATCACCAGTAACTTTCAATGGTGTCACTATTGCAACTTTTGAGACCATGTCTCTAGGAAGTAATTCCCAGACCAAAATACAGAAGCTCTTTAACATGCTACAGTGGTTCAAACCCCTGTTTTACAGACAGCTCTGGTGTTATTAGTCTGAAGCCTCAGATCCAACAGACCAAGTCAAGTGATATTTGTGTACCAGACCTTGATCAGGTGAGCCACATCCTAGGTCCGTAGTAGCATTGCAATTCTGCACGATTTCTTTCCCATCTGGACACCTGTAGTGGATGGCAACACAGAGTTCCATCAACATTTCCAGAGCAATATGGAGCTTTGACCAGGCCTGATTTTTTTCAGGCAGAGCTTAGACACATGGAACAGAACATGCATAAACAGGTAACTTTGTTGAAGTGCACCTTTAAACAACCCAAGACAAGACCACATGATTAAATAGAAGCAAAGCAGATAGAAGCTAACATACATGAGCTTTAAGTGGCAGGAAAAAAGCCCAGAGTGATGCATTATTCATGCACAGTTAGTTTCCTTAAGCAGGTGGTTCTACCTTCCAAAATTTTAGAGTGGCTGCTGCAAAGCTCATTCAGGTGTGTACATGGGGAAGTAGTAATTTGAAGACATGAGAAGTGTAAGCTTACAGCCATAAGGAACAAGTACAACGATACCAAAATCCGTATCTTTCTAGGTCTCAATCTCATGTATTTTGACACCTAAAATTTAAATGCATGAATAATACCATTTGGCTTCAGGGCAATTATTTACAGCCTGTTGTGTTAGGCATTGACACAGATTGGGCCACAGCTCTAACATTCCCTAGAAGGAAAACAGTCACTTGCATTCATTAGCAAACTTACATTGTACTGCATCTCTGACATATTTCACATCCTTCGGCAGGGCAGAAATACCCTTCTTTGCACTGGCATTCAGCATCATGTGTCAGAGTACAGGGTCTCAAAGTTATCTGATCTAAAAATAAAATATAAGTTACAAAGGAAATATAAAATTTGTGACTCCCTGCGGTGGTGCAAAAATTATACTCAGGCCATAAAGGCAACTTATTTATAATTTCAATATTGTCAATGACCAACACGCAAAAAAACCAAAACAAAACCACAGGACAGGGCTTTCCACATTAAAGAAGGGGAAAAGGGTTAAGGTTTCATCAGAACCGCGCTTGGTACCATCTTTGCACTGCCTGCACGACAAGCACTCCTCCAGGCCGTTCTCATGGGCGGTGTAACTCTCTCCTTCAGTGCAAGGGACGCATTTTCCTCTCGAGTGCGAAGCGCTGCAGTGCTGAGCAACGTAAGTACCTGGGGAAGAGGAGAAGCGGCAGCAGTCTCAAGGGGTCATTTAACAGGCCGAGGACTACAACAGGATTCTACAGCACAGAGCCATTTTTGGTGAGAGTTCAACCGAGTGGCTGCTCAGACAGGCAAGTGGCAGATGAGCATCCAGCCAGGCCTCTGCCAGGACAAGGATGACTTACAACAGCACTTGGGAGTCACCCACGTGGCCAGCACCATCTCCTCCGAAGGAGCACAGCAGGCACAGGGAGAACTGCTCATAACAACATCATTTGTCCTTCGAATTATCTTAAAATACACCAGAGAGCCCTCCAATACCATCCAAGCACAGGGTGCTGCTTGGCAAGAAGCTTGTTAGCTCTGCACACGTTGAGCAAGGAGGGGACAGCAAAGGCAAACCAAAGTTTTACCTACAGATGCAGAAATATCAGAATTCCCCTAGGCCCGTTCTTTGTGCCACTGAAATGTGTTGGTTTTTTTTAAAAAAAACAACCAAACAACCAAAACATATCATCCAACTTTGAAGACTTTATCCTCAACAGCAGGCAGAGGCTTTCTGGCCTGCTGCCAAGGCACCTCTCCAGCCACCACCGATTGCGCAAGGGACTCGCACTTCAAAATGGAGCCCGGCCTTAGCAGCACCAAGAAGCCATCACAGCTCCAGCTTGGCTTACGCTTTCACCGGATGCAACGTAAAAAAAAAACAACCAGTAGTGACGTAGTCATATCCACGAGGAAAAAAATATGGCCGATATCAGCTATAACTGCCTGAAGCCTTACCTGCTGGACAAAATAGGCAGCAGTGGCCTTCATGTAAGTATTCTCCCTCCCAGCAGTCCTGCGCTCCAGCTCCCGGCATTATCAGCAGTGTAACCTGCAGCAGAGACAAACAGGTGTTGGAGTGATTCATTCTCCCAGGACACGATAACCATCATGGGGAGATGTTCCTGTAAAGACTTGAAAACACATTCAGAAGTTCTTGGGAAGCCACAAAGGAAACCCAAACTAATTTCTGCTAAATGTGCCGCTCACAGCCATAATTACAATCACAAAGCTGGGGTTAGAGCAGCACCTTGCAGCGGCTGATGGGTTTTAGGCAATTACTGCCCCAGTTCCCCACCTCCCTTTTAAGCTTCTATTTTCTTTTTACTAATTCACTGCAAGCGAACCTCAGAAGCCGAGGTTTCTGCCTTGTACAAGGGATTCCTTTCTCCCTCCTCCTGTCGTCTTAGTTCAGGAGGGTCAGCCTTAGTCTTTCTCCAGCAAAATGGAGGAGACGCCCCACAGACGTCATCTAACATGTCTCACTGACTCTAATCTTCGTCAGAAGGCAACTAGTTGAGTCATTAAGAAGAATAACTTACTGTAGCCACAGGAGCATTAGGATTTTTAGCTTTTCTTTGCCTTTTTTTTTTTTTTTTTTAGGCACCCGCGGGCTGCGCACCTCAGGAAGGCTGCGGCGGAGCGAGGAGCGGCTGCCCGGCACCCGGAGGCCGGGTGCTCCGCAAGGAGAGGGCTGGGGAGCCCATATGCCGCCGGTTTCGGGCGCCCAGGTACATCCCTCCCTTTGGGCACAGAGGCCAGAGAAAGTGCCGAGGCAGAGGGGCAGGAGGAGGGGAAGGGGCGGCCGCGGAGCTCCCGTCGCTAATCGCCAACTTGTAAAGCGAAACCGGCACTCCCCGGCTCCCGCAGCTCCGCTCTTTCAACTCTCTCCGCGGGGACGGAAAGTTTTCCCCATAATCGCGTAGTTGAGAAAACCACCAATTTCACAGTGGGATAACGCGAGGGCTCTCGGAGAGCTCACGCCGCACTCGTAATTTTCTTTTTTCCGAGGAGAGAGGGAAGAGCTGGGCTTAATCCAGTACAGCTGCGCTTCCTTAACCTTTTTAGGTCTAGGGGAGCTGTACTAACTCAAGATTCCCGAAACTTCAAGCAACACGAAAAAAAAGTTCAGAGGAGCCACTAAAGTCTGTTGAGGAAAAGGAGGATAGAAAATCCCGCCAGGCTCCTCAGGCGGGCCCTGGAGGAAGATTCCCCTCCCCACCCCCCCCAGAAGGTATTTGGGGCTGGCTGCGGCCAGGTGCCGGCCTCCACTCGCCGCAAGCCGGCGGACGAGGAGCCCCTGCCCGCGAACAGCGGCCCCAGCCAGAGAGATCCCCCCCACAAGTCCCGTCCCGACCCCGGCACCCACCAGCAGCAGCCCCGTCACGGCTCCGGCTCCCATAGCAGCGCCCGGCGCGGCCCCGCTGCGCTCCACTCCGCTCGATGGCCCCGCGCAGGGCGGTGCCGGTGCTTTATCCGCCCCCGGGGCGGGCCGCCGCCCTACGCCCCCGCCGCCACGGGGCTGCAGACCCCCCGGAGAGAAGCGGGACCACCGGAGAGCGCGTACCCCGATGGCGCGCTGCCCACCCACTGGAGTCCAGGGGGCCCACGTCGCGCCCTAGGCCGTGCCCTGGCACCACACGTTGCGCCTATGAGAGCGGGAGGAAATGGGCCGATTCCTGTCCCCGCCCACAGCTCACGTGCTTGTTCGCCGATCACGAGAAGGACGGTTTTCCGAAGTCCTGAAAGAGTTCTGAACTTTTTCAACAGCTTCAAGTTCTGAACTTTTTCAAACTACATTTCTGGGCGTGATTCTCCTCACGAATACCTTTCATCCTCTAGGTGTGCATAACTGGCATGTAGGAACGTTCACCTCCTGTTGTTGAAATTGGCTTAAAATTAATGGCACAATGATTTATGGAGGAAGATCCCCCTCCCCCCCCCCCCCAGAAGGTATTTGGGGCTGGCTGCGGCCAGGTGCCGGCCTCCACTCGCCGCAAGCCGGCGGACGAGGAGCCCCTGCCCGCGAACAGCGGCCCCAGCCAGAGAGATCCCCCCCACAAGTCCCGTCCCGACCCCGGCACCCACCAGCAGCAGCCCCGTCACGGCTCCGGCTCCCATAGCAGCGCCCGGCGCGGCCCCGCTGCGCTCCACTCCGCTCGATGGCCCCGCGCAGGGCGGTGCCGGTGCTTTATCCGCCCCCGGGGCGGGCCGCCGCCCTACGCCCCCGCCGCCACGGGGCTGCAGACCCCCCGGAGAGAAGCGGGACCACCGGAGAGCGCGTACCCCGATGGCGCGCTGCCCACCCACTGGAGTCCAGGGGGCCCACGTCGCGCCCTAGGCCGTGCCCTGGCACCACACGTTGCGCCTATGAGAGCGGGAGGAAATGGGCCGATTCCTGTCCCCGCCCACAGCTCACGTGCTTGTTCGCCGATCACGAGAAGGACGGTTTTCCGAAGTCCTGAAAGAGTTCTGAACTTTTTCAACAGCTTCAAGTTCTGAACTTTTTCAAACTACATTTCTGGGCGTGATTCTCCTCACGAATACCTTTCATCCTCTAGGTGTGCATAACTGGCATGTAGGAACGTTCACCTCCTGTTGTTGAAATTGGCTTAAAATTAATGGCACAATGATTTATAGATTGTTCCTTTTTGGATTATTTTTTAATCCCCTGCGGCAGCAGCAGTACGTGTTGCAAACTCTTCCTCCGATGATGCATAGTTTATGTAGGTTAATAGCTTCTTTCATTGAATTGCTCCTCTTGTGGTAACAGCTTTTGTTTTTATTGAACTGCAGTAACAAGTCCCAGTGAAATCCCTGTGGGTGCGTAGTTTGGTAAAATGGAAAAGATCCAAAGAATTTCAAGCATTTGCTTAACACCTACTGAAGGCTTCCCATTAAGCGCTGCTTCTCTGGTTCAGGTGGGTTTGGGGATTTATTTAGTTATTTATTTTCTAAAGCAACTATTTCTCAAACCCAAAATACATTTACACCCAAGAGACATAAATATCCCTGCAGAAGAGAAGAGGCTCCTATCAGTAACTCAAATACGTGGTCCCACAGAGGGATGTGTGTGATGAGGACGGCTGTGCTGACAGGCCAGAGACATGTTGACTTGCTGAAGCATTCAAAGGGAGATTTAGGCAGGAAATTAGCAGACGTGTTTGCACAGCATTAGGAGCAAACACTTCCAAGGTGCATATGGGATTCTGCACTGCCAGGAAGGCATTCTTAGTGGCTGGACATTCTTTCACAGGCAGAGGCCAGGGGAACCCCCTCTCACCAAGGTTTACACCACATGTAGCATGGGTCAGACTTCCTCTGAAAGGAGTGACCAAGATGATCTCCTTCAAAAAGGCACCCGATCTGGGTCAATAACGTTGTCGTTCTTCAAAGATGATTTCTCAAGGATGAAGAATTGTTTAGTTTTCTGGAAACTTTTGCTAATAACAAAGTCACTCTCACCCTTTATTATTTGTCATCTAATTCTTGAATGTTGGCTTCTGGATGCCAGCTACTTATCCTGTCTGTTCATGTGGCTCTCTCCATGGAACTATCTGTTCTCTATTCACCAAGTTACCTCCTTACTGGTTTTCCAAGTCCAAGAGCAGCCTGTACATTTACATGTACAACAGTGAATATCAAGGCAACCATTTTTCTTTCTATTTTGAGGAAGCTGCTACAATTAGAAGACATGGAGAATTTGAGCCAAAGGGCTATTAATTAAAGTGCTATTGCTGTTCTAACTTATGGCCTATGACTGAGATTCTTGAAGGTTTTCTGCTGTAGCTTTTCCTCTAAAAAGCATGGCCTAGGAGTTGTTTACTTGTAAAGTACTATAAAACATAAAACCAAGTTCAAACACACAAATAATTTGCCAGATAGACTGCCACTGAAAGTTGTGTGTTGTTTTATTTCAACATATCAAGCACAAACAGGTTTCCCCTAACTGGGGAATACGATGAGGAATGTACTTAAAAATTTGGAAACATTTACATTGAAAGATAGCCCAGACTGGCACCACCACTAAGTATTTTAAGGCTGTATATATAGCAGTACTTACCACTTGGAACTACTTCAGGCCAGAAAAGAAAGGCTTAGTATTGACTGCAGTCTACAGAAAATATTGCAAATCTTTAAAAAATGGTGTAAAATAGGAAGACTATTAACAGAGTTGAACAATGCAGTGGCAAAACCCTTCCTCTTTCCTGACCTTTGACAATAAATGTGCCTATAACGGAACACATGTACACCTATATCACTCCCATCCTTCTCACCTATCCTTGGGGCAGTGGATTCCTCTCTACAATGCTAGTGTGTGATATAAAACAGCCATATAGCAAATAATAACAATAATAATAAGTGACCAGGTTTTACAAACAGACATGTCTGACATTACACTCGATGGGCCCGGTCCAGGACACCGGTCAGCTCCGTAACAGACGAGGAGCTTTCACTGAACACTTCCCATTTCCTAAAGAGGAAAGCTCTAGGAAATTGTGCATATTTACAGTTCCTCAAATGGAAAATAAAACACATCCTGAGGTCCCGCTCTGTGTGTGCTGACAAAACAGATCATGACTTGATATCCCGGGGTGGATTTTTTGGATCAAGTGTGCTCCCCTCCCACGATTAAAGGCAGCCGGACAGGCACCGTGGACACCAGTTGTTTACACCTCCCCAACTGCACTCCCTCACTCATAGAGCTATGACCTAGACTGGCATGAGCTTTCCAAAAAGCTGGGGTGTTTACCATTTTGGGGGTACCAATACTGCTGAGTAATTATTAATTGCATCAGAAAATGACAAGACATAGAAAACAAATTGCACAATTAAAGCTACATTTGGCTTCAGCATTAAGGCCCGTACAGGTTAAGAGGTCCTTGAAGATGTACATGTAGAAGGCAAAAAATTATATTATCTGCAGGAACAAAGTTTTGCAGGTTCCTAGGTCCCTTTTAAACCTTGTTTTTCAACTTTCTTCCACCTCTGCCGCGTTGGTTTTAAAGTGCTTTGGTGCCTCGCTGGGCTCCTTGCGTGAGTGGCCCCTCTCCTGCAGCCAGTAATCGTTATTGCTGCCAAACGTAGTGATTTTATTTGAAGACATAATTAATGAATAGTTGACACGTAAGAAAGATGCAGAGGAGAAACCAACAGCGAGAGTCCAGGAGGAAGCGTTCAGAAGAGACCTTCCTGTGGAAGGACTTTTTGTTCAGAGCACTGAGGTTTCTGGAAAAGAAAGCAGGATGTTTATTTGTGTGTCGGAGGGAGGTGTGCATTCACACGTGTTGCGTGTACCCACTGCCTCCACTCCGGGAGGGATCCCCATACTTCAGAGACACCCTCACGGGTACAGCACTGTGCCTCGCAGACTTTACCTCCCCTCTTTTTTACAGAAAGATAAGTACTTCTGGCTGCTGTTGGATCAGACAGAGCGTCCTGGTTGGCATGACAAGCTGTAAGGGCACAAACCCCAAGAAATCTCTTCATCCAGCACCCACTCACAAACCTATGCCCTAACCTTCCCAAAATGCAAGAACTTGCCCTGGACACCCCCAAGAGCAACAGAGAAAAGCTAAAGCCACATCATCGATGGCTCTGGCATCCGGAAACAGTGGGCTTCATGTGTGATCCCACCCCACTGATGCTTTGGGAGGGCTGGATAATACTCCTCATGCAGAGGGGAATCAGCAGGGCTCCCTGGAGTGGATGTAACAGTTAATACCTGCCCACAGGAGCCTGCAGGGCAAAGCCCTTTGCCAGCAGTAGGTTAAGCAGGTGTGCTCACTGCTTACCTCAGGCAGCAACTAGCATTTTATACAAAAAGCATGAATTCATTCCTTTTCACCCATGCAGCCCAGTTTTCAGACCATACACCTGCATCTCTGCAGCAAACTAAGCAAATTCATAACATCCTTGATGAGAAGGGAGATTCCTCCCCCCCATACCTTCTTGCCTAGCAGAGACTTATTTATAGCCAGGCCCAGCCCTTCCCAACTTCAGCAGCTGTTCTGCAGTTGGGAGTGCCAAGAGATGCTTAACATGCTGAAGTGATGCTTTTTGCCCCATAAAGAGAGTCTTGAGAGGACAAGATTTCCTCACTGTTTCAAGTAGGGAGTGGCTTTGCCTTTCCAGTGTTAATAGGTTACCTATTGAAACAGTTATTAACTGCACCTCTGCAGCTGATGAGGATGCTCCAAAGGTTGCAGTGGAGGAATTAAATACCACACGTTATTTTTAGCCCATTAAGATCATTGATTTGATGAGGGATAATGGTTACCTGTGTATGTCCTGTTGGGCTCTCTGTAGGGATAAGACAGCTGAATGAATTTCCTTCAGGTGATTCATTTCTTTCCCACACTGAGCGCAGAGGCTTCCAAACCCTGCAGCAAAGTATTGAAGTACATTATGTTTTGCATCACCGTCTCTGCTGGTGGTGATGAATCACAAACCAGGTTCACCCGGCAACTGGCTGGCTGTGGTCAAATTGTCACAGCCAAGGGGGACACCCTCAGGTGGAAACACAGGGAGAAGGAAACAGGGGACTGAATCTTCCACCCTGAAGACTCAGGTCAGTGGAACAGATCCTGTGACACTAGCCTGGGGCACCTTCTCGGCTCTCAGGAAACAATTTTTGCAGCATGACCCCCAGCTGAGGGGAGGGGAATGGAGTGCTCACACCTGCCCCTACCTCTGAAACATTCAAGGTCACCTCCAACAAAGGCTGAGAAAAGGGAATGAGAAACAAAGCCTGTTCCCTATCTGTTGACTGGAATGTCAGTGTATCTTTCTAAAGTGTTTATGCCTGGAATTGTGAAGCCTGTGTTGGCATGGACAGTGTAAGGCAGAAAGAGAAGTAGTATGGATGGAGAACAGAAGCACAGAACATTCTCCATGTTTGCCTGTGGGTTATAGACCCATGGTATTAACTGGGCCAGGAAATGTCCCAGGGCTGGCTCAAGGAGTAACGTTCCGGGGGAAGAACATTAAAGCCTGACCCACTGGTATCAAAATACTTGCCATCATCATCTGAGAGCTCCTGCACCGACTCTGGCGTTGAACAGCTGCTCTCTGTGTTCTGGCTGTGGTTGGACGGCTGATCACTGGTTTTGCGGCGCCTGCAGTCTTTGGCAGACCTCTGGATAAAACAGGGATTAAACAAGACTCGGTCACTGTCAACCTGAAGACTCCTGAGTTTGGCTTTAAACAAAATAATTCAGGCTGATGGAGAAAATCTGTGAGATTGTGAAGCTTGATTGCTTTCTCAGCAACTCCTAGCAGCTGGACTCCTGGCAGCTGGTTAAGGATATTACACACATGCCCCGTACAGAAGCATTTCCTTAGATGATAACATCTTTAAGACACCCATCCAAATTATTCTTGTTTTAGCTTTAACT